AAAAAAAAAAAAAGACAAAAGAAGAAACCATCGGAATGCAGCTGTGAGAGCAGAAGATTTCAAAACTTGTCGTTCTTAAATTTCATGTAAACCTGGCTCAGTACTGAATTTTCGTATTGAATGCAATTGAAAAGAGAGAAGAAATCATCGAAATGCAGCTGCACCAAGATTTGAAAACGACAGTGATACAGCTCGAAACTTGTCGTTCTTAGATTTCATGTAAACTTCACTCTCAGAATGTTCTTGACTGTCATATTTCCAAACATCGTCCACTTTCAGTTACTGAATTTTCGTATTGAATGCAATTTTTCGTGCAGAAAGAAAAAAAGAAAAAACACACACACACGAACAACGCGCATTTCATCCAGTCGGCAAACGCAATTTGGAATCCAACGAAACTCTAGATTCTCGTCTCAGGCAAAAGAAGGTCAGACCGTGGGACAGGTGCGAGCGCACGTCTGCACAATTTTGGGCGTATCCGCGTTGATTACCCTCTAATCACAGGTGATTAACGTTCCCTCTGGCCGGGGCTTGGCTCTGCAATTACCCTCCCTTTCTCTGGTGTAACTTATTTAGAGGAATTTCATTAGCCGCGGAGCTTCCGGCTTGCTTTTAATTAATCGTCCCCGGGGCCCTTTTCATCGTCCCTCTGAATCGCGGCCGCTGGACGATCCAATTGACGTGGGAAACAAGGGGACCGAGAAATTCGAGAATCACTGTTTCGCGTGTTTACGAGCACCGTGAACCAATGTGGGCCTTCTCCCTCTCACTGTGTACACGGGGAGGTAATTGGAACACACGTTCGTGGGTGTTTTATGCTTTCGCAAATTACAGGGTAAATAAAAATATGGCCGCGATAAATCGTCGTAAACTCTCGGCGTTGGTTCGCCGAGTTTGCTTTGTTGCTGGTGTGTTTCGAAAGTCGTAATTATTTTTCTCGATTTGATTGTTGCCGTTGTAACTCGAGTAAAGTGGCTGGAAATGTAGAGCTTTCAAGGTATTCCTTTCATTGTAATTTAGAGGATAAGAACGTGCCATTTATTAATGTACGCGTTCATATTTGGTCAGTGTTTAAACTGTCAAAATTTTGTTTAAACAAATCGCTACAATATACCGATAAATCTTGGCTTGTTTTACAGCGAATGTTTATGTTCACTATGCATCGTTCATTTTATTCTAAAATGTTTTTCGCGTAGCGGATGAGCGGATGAAGATACTTTGCTAATGCTTTAATTGTCACAGTGTATAACAACAATAATTTTCATAACTTAGTCTTTTGCTCGTCATTTTATTGAATTTTGAATATTTGGCAATTTAAGAAGTTGTAACATTTTCGTCGTTTCCGCCCAATTTCAATTCAAAATTCAATAAAATGGCGAAGAAAAATCCTATGTCAAATTTTTGGGAGTTTTTCATGGGTTGTTCATGGGGATTATCAATGGGAAGTTTCAACTTTCAAATTCATTCATGAAAAAAATCTTTCAGTTACAACATTCTTGAGAAGAATTTACCCATATTTTTTCAAAAGTAGAGACTTCAAACTTTAAACTGAGCTCAGTCTATCATCGTGCATGTGATTTCTGTTTACAATTTTCATGATTGAATCTACAATGGGTTTGAAGATTGCAGCAACCCCTTAAAACTCGATGTGTAATTTCTTTTTTTTTTTTGTCAATTTATTGAACTTTAAACATCACGACGAAAATCTTATGATTTCCTAAACTTTTCTCATCTGAACCTAACAAAAATCAATGAAATGACGAAGAAGAATCGTACATCAAGTTTTACGTTGTCAATGTACAGAGAAAACTTCGATTTTTAAGTCTACTGTATATTCAGTCATGGAAACAGTTTTCGAACGTTTCTACACACCACGACAATTTTCCATCGTTCGGAATAAAACGAATGACAAAATCTTCGAAATAAAATATTTCGAAAGTAGAGAATTCGAACTTGAAAATAAACTCTATTGTACAATGTTTTTGTTTTACCAAAAACTGTAAAATCTCCACCATGCCCGAATATCAACGCGAGTAACTTTATTTAAAGAAAAATATGATGTTGTAATAAATGGCGAAGCACACACACACACACACACACGTTCTCTCTTGCACGCGGTTTTGTTCTACGAATAATTTTCTGCGACCTTGAATAACCTTGGCCGGTTACGCGAACCAGCAAAAAAAAAAAAAAATATTAAATTATGACAATGACTCGATTTGAATATTATGCAACATCTTACTTAGCACTGTGTAAATATAAATAATCGTTAGGTTTAAATTCACGATCAATGCGACGATTAAGCTTTCTCTCTTGTCAGCCTGCAATCCTCGATTTGTTGTCAGAATTCAAACAAATCGAATTGTTGATAAACTTTCGTTTTCCGCAGCATCGCAGAAACATTATGTAAAATAATCGCAGCAATCAATCAAGGTTCGGCTTACATTCATTATTGAAGACTACTGGATACAGTTTTCCTCAAGCATAATAAGACAATAAAAACCATACATGAATTTGTATGAATGTTACATTATACTTAGGTGCATTTAGCGTATTAAACAGTAAAAATTTATTCATTTGAAATCGCCAGTATTGAACTGAACTTTGCATTATATATACCTATATATAACGAGCATGATTCCGTTGCAGGGGAACGAGTCGGTGGTACCGGAAGGCTGGCCCCTGACGTTGGGCAGACGTGGCCTCGTCCTTCAGCTAGGAGAGCTCGAAGCCTCCGCGCTACGTCTCGGGGAATGTTACCTCTGCATACGCAGCTCGGCTGCAGTTGCAACGATCTCGGGGAGCGGCGAAGCTGCCGCTGGTGAAACCGACGAGCGAAATACCGTCGAGGTGAGTCAGGTTTCCGCCGAAATCGCTTCTCGTTTCTCACCCGCAGCGATTCCCGCGGAACTTGGTAATTACAAGCGAATCGTCGTCTTGAGTGTTTGGTTCCTGCGCGATAAATTGGACTCTCTCTCTCTCTTTCTCGAGAAACATCATCATTCGTTGTAGTCTTGGCGAAGTTAAACACAACTCCTGTACTGTGGTGTTAAAGAATTAATATAACTGATAGAGAATGACTTGATTGAAATTTACTAGATATTTCTCTTGTTGAGAATAAGAGATAACTGCTAACTGCAATGGGTGGATCGGTTAATGAACATAATCCGCTCAAAGACGATGTTCGCTACTCGAATTGTTCGATGGCAGTAAAATACAGTTCTACATAGTGTCGCGGCGTCAGGTGTTCTTTTGTCCATAGAAATCTTTGTCCGAGCTGTTCGTTCATCAACCGGTCACCCACTGTATCGCGCGAAAAAGAAACAGACCCTGCGACACACAGTCGGCGTAACAATCCACGCGTTCGAGCGTAGTAGTCTCTTTGCCCCCCACTCGACGCAGCTTGCAACTTTCACCGATCTATCTGCACCCCTTTCCACTTGCCGTTCGATCTTCGCCGTTTGTCACGCGCGAGACGCATAAATATCAACCCTGGTGTGCGCAGATCGCAGTAGTTTGGCGAACGACGTCGATGAGGGCCCCAGGGTTCCTCGGCTGGGACCGCGAGGAGGAGTTCATGGACTGGCGGGAGGTGTCTCGGAAGGGGCAGGGGAGCACCGGCGCGGCGGGCAGCAGCCTGCAATCGTCGAGCGCCGCGAGGAGCATGATGCGGCCCAGGCGACGCTCGCGCGAGGAGGCGCGCTCGAGGACGCGGGAGCAGGGCTGCGCGTTCGAGCACCGCCGCGAGGAGACCCGTTCGATCGACCGGCTCGAGTGCAACAGCTCGAACGAGAATCGCCGCCGCGCCGCATCGGACACCGCGGCGGACGCTGGCCACGCGGTCATGAAGTCCAGGTCGACGTCGAGCGTGGGCACGTGGAAGCCCACGGAGCTGCTGGATGCTTCGGCCGAGACGAACGGCGCGTTCGAGACGGCGTCCAGGCCCGGCTCCGACCATCGCACTTCTAGTCTCTCCAGCGACGAGAATCGCGCTGGCGAAGTGAACAAGTGCGCCAAGGTCGTCTCGTCGATGACCATGGAGAAGTGGAAGGAGACGGCCAGGTGCGAGACCAGGAGCAGAGCGTTGGCACCCGGCGATCTGAAGACGCCGCTG